AGGTAAACTGTCTTACAGAATTTTTCCTTACATGAAATGGACTGCTGCTAAGAATATGCTTTCAATCTTTATTGTGGGTTATTAATGACCAGAATCTATAACCTTCCATTAGTGAAAAATGCTAATAACTGCCTAAACACAATTAATCATGAAGCTTTTCCAAGCAGCCACGATCATTGGCTTTTCATTTCATCAAATAAGCATCTGATTGAACTTTCTGCAGCTGTTTGAAATATGAATTTATTTGGGGAAGGAAATTTAACATGGGCTCTTGATGAGTCTTTTCCTTGTAATTCCTAAAACAGCGTTCCAGAAGAAGCAGCATTGACACTCCTCACCAGGAAGTACTCAATCACGTTCCTAACAGTGGCATTTGTTCCTTCCATTTCTGGCCCTCCACTGGATATATTCTTGATTAAATGAAGCTAGGAGATTTCTTTGCTTTTTCTGACAACCAGAGTTTGAACCAGTGCTCGAGCAATTAAGGAGGTTGAATATAAAGTTTTAGCAGTATCTAATATTTTACCCATTAATGTTTTCCTGAACCAGAATTCTCCCCTCCTTTCTCTTTTCCTCTTTCTCCCTGTGTGTGCCTGCGTATAGTAAAATCAAGTTTGTTTAAGCAGCTGATTTTACCTGAGAAATGATTTAGTATCTTTTTTATTATAGAATTGAGAAAGAACTGATGTAAGGTGATACCTTTTATAAACTCATCCCTCCAGAAGAGATTAAAAATACAATTACACAAGGTTACTTTGATAACAAAACCAAGCCAAAACCAAATCCAAAACCGAACAAATAAGTGGAAGTATCATTTGACTCTGAAGAGACAAACAAATGGTTAATTGTTTAAGTTTTGTACTTTTCAACTAGTCTTGAGAAACTAAATATAATCACAGGGTTCAAGGAGATACTGCTATTCAGAACAGCAGTTCAAAAAAGACATTTGAACAAAATTTAAAAAAAGAAAAAGAAAAAAGACATTTTTATGGAAACTTTGGTTACTAGAATGAGTACCAGAAATAGTAGTGTAGGGGGTTTCTTCTTCAATGCCTGGTGAGGTTGCTCTTCTCACCTTAAAAGTGACATTAACCATTGGCATACTCAGGAAATAGAGATGATGCATGTATTCAGCATTTTTAAAAGTGTTATGTCTCTTACTAAAGAGGAGATACTTTAGGAGTCAGAAGTTGGCAAGTAACCTTTTTCCCCAAAGGTGTGATGATGTGTTATTATTAAATATACACACAGTCATAATATTAGTGCTTCACACGGCAGCTTTATAGTAATTTACATATTTTACTCTAGTAAACTTTCTAAAACTATAAAGAATTTTTCTTTTTTTCCTCATAAAAGCCAGTAGAGGCATACCAAAATATAATATAGTCAGTAATTGAGTGTGATGTTGCTACTTTGCAGTTAAAACTGCTAAATAATGTCTATCTGAGTCTATTAATATCTGTGCAAACTTACCCACATCAACTTTGTTTCAATGGTGGGATTATTGTTAATTATAAATGTGTGCTGTTATAACTAGAAAATCTAGCCAAACATAGGTAATGTAAAAGAAGCAAATGTTTTAACATGGCTTTAGAAGCAATGGAAACATTACTTGACCTTGTTTTCTTTGTTTCTTATTCCATAGCTTAGGATAGGGAGTAGCAGAAGTTAAGGCACTCAGATTGTCAGGGATTTAAATGTTTAGGGAAGTGAGATAAGGTTTCCATAAGTTCATAGCAAGTGAAGATTTGCAAATTACCAGGTGTTAGTATTTAAAGGGACATTTCTTTAACTCCCTTCATTTTAGTGATAAGTAAACTGAAGCCCAGAGACATTAAATGACTTTACGGCTCACTAAAGCTGGAATTTGAACCCAGGTCTTCGGGACCCCCTGAGACCAGTACACTTTCTGCATCTCACACTGCCTTCTATGCAGATTGAGAATACCGGTTTTGGCATTACCACCGACAATCAGCAATGTGTATCTACATGTTTAAATCTTTAAAACAACACTGAATGAAAAAAGCAAGTTGGAGAATTGTATGTACAGTATGGTACCATTTATTGTTACATAAGTGTTGCTTAAGTTTCCCGAACAAAGAGCACTTCCAAATAGTTTGGTTCAGCAATGCCCTACCATAGTGAATTTGACCCTGTTGTGACCAAGTGATGAAAAACTTTCCATCAACTTGTTAGTTCCCTGGAAAATCTGTGGTTCCAATCATATATTTAATTTTGTGTCCTCGGTTGTCTGAGAGTATTGAAACCACAGTATGAAGTATATGTGTATATAACTATATACACAGTATGAAGTATATGTGTATATAGTTAGCTTCACATTCATTTTTGTAAAATTAGTTTTGTTCATATTTGTTTTTACATGATTGATGGTAGCAAAATTGGCAAGAGATAAATGAGACTTTCCACAAATATATCTGTACTGGGATGTAATAAAAGGTTGTTCCTAAACCCATCTATGATGACTGCAGCATGCAACTCCAGAAACCAAAAAGGTACCAGTGCGGGAACAGGTCCTCCAAGGACACAAAAAATGCTAATGTTGAGGAACAGCTTCCCCATCCATTCCTGGAGACATGACACCACTTCCATCCTGTCAATCTTCAAAGTAGCTAAGGGTTGGGGAGCCTTTTTAAGATTGTCTCTATAAAAGTAAGTATTATAAAAACCAAGTACTTCAACAGCTTTGGAGATAAGAGTTATTGCTTCCTTCACTTTGTGGAGCTGATGAGTTTTGGAAGATAGTGGTGAAAAAAATCAATATTAGATGGTTCTTGAAAAAAATAATAACTTTTGCTATATTTCTAGGAAGGAAGACTTTTGCAGTGAGCAGCTCAAATTAATGACATCAGTCTCTCTGACCCCTAGGTTGCGTGAAATAAGCCCTTGGATCTTTTATTCCCTTTGATTAATTTTTTAAACAATTACATATTTCAGATACACACAAAAGCACAGAGAATAATATAATCAACACCTGTTATATTTAACACATCTCAACCTTTTGCCATACACATTTCTTTCTAGAGGTTTTATTTATTTATTTATTTATTTTTGGATAACCAAACTGATTACAGACCTGAAGCCACTTTGTTACCCTTTTCTGATCTAATTCCCCTATCTTGCTCCTCAGAGGAGCTTTACTGGGTGCATTTTAATGCTATTGCTACATATTTACTTATCCATAAACAATATATAGTATTGTCTTGAGCAGTTTTAAAGTTCACATAAATGGTATCATACTGTACATACAATTCTCCAACTTGCTTTTTTCATTCAATGTTGTTTTAAATATTTAAACAAGTAGATACACATTGCTCTGATTCATTTCAATGAATGTGCCACATTCCAGTATGTGAAAATTGAAGATGTAACTTCTTTGCTATTACAAACAGTGCTGCATTGAGCAGCTTTGTATAGTGTCTTCTTGGGCAGCTGTGTGAGATTTTCCTTTAGGATAAATACCTACAAGTGCAATTGCTGGGGTATAGGGCAAAATTATCCCGAGCTTTACGGGATACTAGATTGGCTTGTCAAGTTGTTGTGGCAATTTATACTTTCATCAGAAGTATACAAAAATTCTTTTTCCACATTCTTGTCAATATATTGCTAAAAGGATATCATAAAACATCCATAATTAAGAATATTCCAATTAAAGTAACAATGAGTTTTCACTTATCAGATTGTTACATTTCACTCAAAGAAAGTTTAAAAGTTGACAAGAGTGCATACCTTTTTTTGGAAGGATGTACACAAAAATATTGACAGTTCTTACCTCTAAAAATCAGACCTGGAGTTAGGTGAAGGCGAGAAATATATTTTTTAGTTTTGTTGTATTTGCTTTTATAGTACTTGAAATTTCAACTCTCTATATGTTTTTTAAATAAAAATTTTAAAGTCAAATGCCTACATGCTTACTTCTTCTTTCTTTGGGGAAAGTTTTTTCTGCATCCAAATTTATTGAGCCTAAAGAACATTTAAAATGTATAAAGAGTTGTTGATTTCCTGAATGACTGGTTCATACAATAGTGAATGCAGCAGAAATGTTTGCTAAAAAATAAGATGCAAATAATGATGCTTTAAAACTTTAGCAACATAAGTCAACAAAACATTCATGGTATTACAATATTTATTTTTTCTATATGATGTCAGAGTAATGTACCTGCTGTGACATTGCAGAGATCAAATCAAATATAGTTTGTAGGTTTGTGTCTTCTCGAAAGCTCACTTATGTACTTAGAATCAAGGTAATTGGTGCATCCTGAATAAAGTCAGGGGCTTAAATTGCTATACTGAATAAAGATATTCCTAATATTTAAAAATATTTAATTTTAAATACAATTTTTGTCTATTTTTGTTTTCTTTTTATGTAGCCACTATCCAGACATGTCAGGGGTGGGTGTGTGTGTGTGTGTGTGTGTGTGTGTGTGTGTGTGTCTTTTGTTTTGTTTTAATTGCTGTTTAGGGATGTGGTTTCTTTTAAATAGTCAGTTTTCTATTTTTGAAGTTACTGAATTTTCCCTTCTGATCTGTGTTCTCAAATGGACTTAAATTCTCTCATGTTGAGCAGCTCTTCTTAAGTATTCTTGGTACAAGCATTTTAAGAATGACAAATCAATCTCATGCATGAGCTAAAGATGAGGCATAGAGTAAAATTTTATAACTCGATTGTCCTCCTGGTCAGGCTGTAGGATTGAAAGCTATTTACAAAGAAGAAAAAGTTTTGGAGTGCCCACAACAACAATGCATATTTTATATATTTATTGCAATGACCAGGCAAGATAGCTTGATTTTTCTCTAACTGCACCAAGCATAGTATTTGTTTTCTGATTGTATCTCATCTCTGGACTGATGGGGGTACAGTGGAAAGAATGAAATCTTGATGCTTATACTATTTTGCCTAACTTCATCTTGAAAAAAAGATAGCCTAGGCGTGTCATTTTAGAATAAATCTTGAAGTGTGTTTGTACTTTGTTAATTCCTAGGTGAAAAAGTGTTTGTATCTCTCTATGGAGGTGCCATAGACATGAATATAAGGCTGGATAAGAATTCCTTGACCATCGAGAAAACCTACATATCTCTGGCCAATCAGCGAACTGTAACCATTCACAACCGCAGTAATATCATTGCCCATTTCCTGTGGAAGGTATTTGCTACCCAGCAAGAAGAGGACAGAGAAAAGTATAGGTCTGTAACAAAAATCACCTATATGCAGTAATTTGAAGGGGGGGGGGGCGAATGTAAAACTAAGTTATTATGAAAAATCAGTGAATTTTGTGCTAATTTTTAGCCAACTCAACCAATGTCACATTTTTCTAACTTGGTTCTGGTGTAAGATCCTCTTTTGAAGCTGCTCATCTGAACAACCTGAGCTGAGCTATGTGGAACAGAATGTCCATCCTGAGTTAATGTAACCTGGTTATAGTTTAGAAGTAATGGAATGCCTAGATTTTGAAGACCAAACCTATCATTCTTCACTATTCTTTCAAAACAAGTCTCCCTGTCTCTATTAAATACTTTTCATAACCCTAACCAAGTTGATCAGCTTTTTCTTTTTCTTTTTTTTTTTTTTTTGAGACAGAGTCTCGCACTGTCGCCCAGGCTGGTGTGCAGTAGTGCGATCTTAGCTCACTACAACCTCCGCCTCCTAGGTTCAAGCAATTCTCCTGCCTTAGCCTCCTGAGTAGCTAGGATTACAGGCTCCCACCACCAGGCCCGGCTAATTTTTTGTATTTTTAGTAGGGACATGGGGTTTCAATATGTTGGCCAGGCTGGTCTCAAGGTCCTTGACCTCATGATCGCCTGCCTTGGTCTCCCAAAGTGTTGGGATTACAAGTGTGAGCCACCGCGCCTAGCCAGGTTGATCAGCTTTCATAAAGAGTTCCTAAAAATAATCTATTTTGGATTGGCATCAATGCGGAATTTTTTTCAGTGAAAAGATACTTCTAGAAAATATGAAGATTGAGGAAAAAGAAGGGCTTGGATATAATGGCTTTTATATTCTTGGTTTTAGTAGCATTGCTCAGTCCCTGCAAACTATATAATTTAATAATGATTTCTTATTGGTATCTTTAATATTATTATGGTTTTTAAAATGGCACTTCAGGCAGTGGAGAAAATTAATAAAATGTAAAACCAAACTGTTGTAGCTAATCTCATCACTGTTAAATTTTGAAGATTTCTTTTTACTGAATCCATGCTTGCCTCTTTTAAGCTCCATTTTCATTTTTATCTCCTTCCAGCCTCCCTGAATTAACACTTTTGCTGCTTTCATTGGAATTTATTTCAGCCTTTTTTATTTGCCTTTCCATTTTCATTAAAGATTAGCCCTGGGAAGCTTCAAAGCTTTGTTTAAAACCAAGTTCATATGTGATAAAAATAAAAGTCTTAGGTCCGTGGAAACCAGGAAGAACCCCAGCAGTGTGCAGTCCCTAATTGAATCAGAAGCCGTGACAATGACAGGACACAGTGGACCAGAAGCTTTGTCATTCAGACAATGAGCTTTAATCACTGAATCACTACTGTGCCATTTTTTTAAAAATGAGGAAAGAAAAACCACTTATGCCTAAAATCTTCCTCTGGCCTTATGGCATAGAAATATCTGTGGTTTTAAAAGGCACAAGGAAAAGGATCTGCTACTGCTTCCTTTGTCCTACCTGGTTCCCTGGCTCACATGTGCTCACCAGCGATCAAAATGGCCCAACATGCTTGAAGGGAAAGTGGGAAAGGAGATCAAGTAAAGAAAGTCAAACAGCAAAGTAGTGTTTCAGTATCATTCTTGTCCTATGGGCATAAGCCTTTGTGGAGAGTGAGTACACATTGTAAGAAGGAAAGCCAGCTTTAATTTCAGCCATGTCTGTGTGTTTGGCTATATGGATAGTATGTGATTGATGCCATGCCAATACCAAAAAGTATGTAAGGTTAATTTCAGCACTTAAACTCTAGAAAAATTAAAACCAATGGTTATCAGAGATGCTTAACTATAGGGAATATAATTCAGCCCCAGTGGATGGACATTGATTTTCATTTTTTTCCCACTTCACCTGACACATCCCTCTCTCTTTAATATTGTCTTTTATTCTTCCCTTTCTCTTGCATCATTTTCTTTTACTATCTCCCTTGCTCTTTCTATTATTTCTCCTGGCAACTTCTTTGTAACAAGGGGAAAAATATAGGATAGCAATTTTATAACCATGATTGGAAGCCTTTATCATCTAGAATCATGACCGTCTTTTAACCAATAGACTTGAAAAGCAGCTTCACATAAATAAGAATATCACCACTTTCACTCTGGGCGACATACAGGCCCAGAACTCCTGTTTCTCCAAACTGTGTTGCTTTATCTCTGTAAAGAGTCTACGATGTGCTGCCCCTTCTCTTCCTCCCACCTCTCTCCTGAGTGCCAGGAGCTCGGCCAAGAGGGAAAAAGGATACCAGTCATGCTGATCTCTTGTCGCACCAGGGTGGCACTTCTTGCTCTTCTCTCTATTGTTCCTCGATACAGCCCCAAGCATAATAATAAGAAAGCAAACAACTTTCCTATTATAAGCCATGAATTCTTGTCCTTGAGGTAACTGTGATAAAATGCCCAACCTCTTGGAAAGGAAGGCAAGTACAGACAAGTTTGCCCTTTACTAAACATTAAACTCCTGCCTTCTGGACAGGGCAGTGGTGCTCTTGCTGTGAGTGTAGGCCCCTCTTCCTCCATGTCACAAATTCTCAGATTGTGTCCCAGGCCACACATCAGGGGTCAATAAAGCAGAGTGTTCTTTGGTAACTTGCTTATGGGCAGAGGTCCACCCATCCCTGAAAAGCTGCAGCGAGATCTTTAGTGAATGGGGTGAATCCTCTCTTGAGCACCCCAGCAAGGCCTACAGAGCTGAATCAGACGTTACCCTCTTGATATCTGACTCTCTTGCTCATGATGGGGTGCACCTTCTTCCTTTGTTCCCCCTCCTTCAGCAACCTCTATGGTTAAAAGGTTTAACTTCTGTGTAAACTTTCAGGTCAGATTCAAGAGCCTGCCCACTGTTTTCCTGGCATTTTAACATGGCTTAAAGCGTGTCCTGTGGCATTCATCTCCAGGGGCTGAACGTTGCTCAAAGGTGGCTTCAACAATGCTGATAGCTCTAACAGATACACTCAAGTCCCATTCTAGCCATCAAGGTTTCTTGCCCTCTTGTGGCAAACACTTGGATATCTCTTCTTCCAGTGGAGGAATTTCAGCCCCAGGAATCCCTATGTTTCCAGCAGTTTACTGTTTGGCCTTCCTCCACACCCACCTCAAAGTATCGCTAAAAACTTTAGGACACGTGTCCAGGTTTGGGGATAGAAGGTTGTTTCCATGCTACACTCTTGGGCAATGATGTTCCTCCCCCTAGAAAGAAGTTCTGTGCTTTAAAAATGTTTTCTTTTCTTTTTTTTTTTTTTTTAACTGGAGAATCAGATGTATAGGGACCTCTAAAAGATCACCTTTTTGTTCTTTCTCTTGATGTTTTCCTGGGACTTGCAGAGAAATTAATCTCTTCAGAAATGGAGGCTGCATTCATCCCTCCTTGCTTCCTCAACCTTGTCCTGAGGGATTTTAAAACATTCTGCAAGATTCTTTCATACTCATTCTTATCACGTTCGCTGTATTTGGAGACCTGGCATGGGCTTTAAGGATTTTTGCTCCCCATTTCCCCAGCAAGGTCACAGCCATTTTCTCAATAGCAGCTGGCTCTAATTCTAGATTTGCTCTGTACAAGAGCTCCTACAATTCTGAATGCAGCCCCCCAGGGTGGTCAGCATGGGTTTATTCTATAATATGCAGATGTAGGAAATGACACGTTTCCTTAGATAAATCAGTTTTAATTGGGCTTTGAGCCTACCACCTGAATCATAATAAACTGAATCTTAGTTATGGTTAGAGGCCCCTTTCCTTCCCTATGGTTTATACAAAAATCTGAAGATTTACATGGTACTGCCAAACAGGGAGAGGATCTCTAGTTCTTCATTTGTAACATCCATCACAGAGTTGCTAACTGTTCAGAGTCACATGGTTCGTTTTCCGTTTGAAGGTGGATGGCTCCATTTGTTCCAGGCCAAGTGTGGACATGGGAGTATTTCTTCCAGCTCTCAAGACCATGGCTCTTAGTTTTTAATCCTCTCAGCCTTCAGTTAGCATCTCTTTTGGGTGGTGAAGGGAGCAGGTTACAGGCCTTGAGTACCTGAAGATGAGGGACTATTACTCATTCAACCCTGCTTCACCAGAAACACACGTCTTCTCCATTGACTATTAAAGGTGCTGGTAGCTACTAGACCATTTGTAAAATGGGTTAAGTCCATGGTTTTATTGAAGAGAGGGCTGGCCTGCTGTTATGCTATCTGATGAAAGGTCTCCTCATCTATAAAAGAGAACAAGCTCTGAGTGCAAGAAACCATGACGATCAGCGGGACAAGATGGCAGAACACTAGGACTGAGATCTATGGAAGCCCTTGTTGGAGCCAGGCTCCCTGAAGGTGTGGCTATACACCTACTCCTCGACTCTCAGTCCTGGCTCCAATTCTCCATCAGAGGGCAAAGAGGAAGAACCCAGGACCCACTTTTTTCCCTTTGCCTTCTACTGGCTCTTACCAATTTGGAGTTTCAACAGCATGGGAGAAGAGCAGCATTTTGGAATTTGTTTTGTTCTCTTTGCTTTCTGCTGCAGGGATTGCATTTCTCATACTCCTCAGTTCATGGAGCATTATCATCCTCATCCTTGGTCCACACAGATAATTTTATTTATTCTCTTACATCCCCACACCCTACTCCTGTTAATTCCCCCAAAGATACCATTCTAATATGTTAATGTATTTATCTTTTTATGTGAATCTGTTCTTTCAAAATGTATATTGTCTCGGGGGAGAGACAGAGAGAAGTCATATTTTGTATTCCATTTTCTCCTTTTTCTCACAAGGCTGTGTGCTTAAGATCCATTCATGTTGCTATGTGTACATCTAATCCATTGCCTCCACCTTCTGCAGACCAGACCACATTGTGCCACCCCCACATTTCACCTGTGCATTCTTCCAGAGGTGGCATCTACAGGCTCATGCCGATGCAGGCATGTTAGGCAAACAGGTGAAAATCTTAGTGCCTCAGCCTGAGAATTAATTAACATTTAATTTCTTAAATGACTTGTCTTCTGGTTTAAAAAGAAATACATTATGCACTAATACAATTTAGAAAATATTAAGACAAGCACAAAGATGAGGGCAAAAATCCATTCTAATCCTTCCAACTAGGGAAACCACAGTCAATATTTTGGTATGTCTAAATCTGTTTTTTTCCCCTAATAAGTATATATTTTTCTTTTGCTTTTTTATTACAAAAGTGGGATTATTGTATATGTTACATTTTGCCAATTTGTTTTTCACCTTAAAATATTTCAGACATTTGAAAATGATGTTAAGTATTCTATTTAATACCACTTTACTAGCTGCTTGTTGTTCCCTGATATTCCCTGGATTCCTGGGGGGCGGTGTGCATATTGGTTAGCACCAGGGGATTCAAGCCTCCAAAGACGTGAAGTTCAGGCTATCTTTTGGCTACATGATCTGGAACGAGTTACATAACCTTTCTAAGCCTCAGTTTCATCATCTATATAGTGGGAATGATGATCCTAATGCTAATGACCCTTCTGGTAGTTATGAGTATTAAATTATATGATGCATGTGAAAAGTTTGACAAGTGCCCAATAAATGTAATGTTTATGATTCTCATTTTTGTTCGACCAGTGCTTCATTATCTTACAACAAATTTACCCACTTGATCTGGTAGCATTCTAGCACTTTAATGGACATCTTTGTAGATGTGTCTTTGTTTATATCCATGATTGTTTTTAAGGATCTGTTCCTGCAAGTGGAATTTTTTGGTTTCTAATATAATCTGTAAGTTTTCCAGATCAGTATCAGATAACAAAATATCAAATGAAAAAGAAATGGACTCCTTTTTTTCTGCAAACTGAGCTGTCTTTAATTTGCACTGCTGTGCCCAGCAGTGTGGAAGGAATACTGCCAGTCACCTTGGACACTGCCTCCTACCTGGCAATAAAAATCAAGCACAAGATGCTTTCTTCCTTGGAACCAGAACACACTGAGCCCATTTCTTTGACTTCTTTTTGCAGTGTGACCAAAGCACCCTGAACACATACGTTATTTAAAAAGAGTTATTTGACAATACTGACAAGAGTTGGAACTGGGACAGGAATTCAGTGATCCTGGGCTCCCACTCAGCACTTACTTTGCAAAATAATTTCTCTCTCATCCCTGGTAATACCAGTACATTGATGGGAATGTGGTCGTATGTCCTGGGAGGAGATAAAATTCAATTGCAAAGTTCAGGAGAAATGTGAACACAGCTCTGGTGGGGGCAGTGAGTGGAGGATTGGGGAAAGCTGCTGTTCTCACTTATCACGATGGATATTAAGAGCAGGAAAGAGAGAGAAAAGGAGGCGCCTTAAGGCATAGCTTGAGCATTTTGTAAGCTTGACAGCTTGGTGATTGCCTATGGTGGACAGAGGGAGAAAACCAGTGTGTATGGAGTTGCCAGCTTTGTCCCAGGAACTGCACTAGAGCCTGGATTACATTTAACCCTCAACACATCTTTCTGATGGAGCAGCTTCTATGGTCTCTAAAAGGACAAGGCACTGAGGCTTAGAGGAATCAGGGAACTCCCAAAGTCACAGAGCTAGTAAACAGATCATAGAATCGGTATGCAAACCTAGTCCCTGCTGGCCCCAGGTTCTATTCTCCAGGTAACTAACAGCTAAGAAAGAATTAAAGCTAAGCAAATTTAAAAGGAACAAAATTGTCCTTGCCATGTGAGGGGCAGAATAGATGTTAAAGATTTAAAAAGCAGCCTGGAAAACACAATTACCTGAAAGAAAATATTTGTCCAGATATACATAAGGGCTCAGGAGTAAAGCAATGAGTATTGAATAGGAAAGGAATCCAGGGAGGATCTCTTAAAGAAGGTGGCTGAAGATGAGCAAATGGAGGCTCTGAGAGGTCTGAGGACCGAGTGCAAGGGCAGCAGGTTACAGACTCAGGGCAAGGAGGGACCACCCCAGGGTGAGGGGTGAGGACAGTTCCAGGAGGAGGGACTGGAGGGAAGCCAGAGTTCTTCATGGGAGTACCGACATGAATCTCACACTGCCTGTTTTCTTTAGGGCCTGTGATGACCTGATCAAAGAGGAGAAGGATGAGACTGATGAGTTTTTTGAAGAGTGCATTAGTGATCCTTTACTCCGAGAACGTCTTTCTGTTCTCTCCCAAACCTTTGCGAATCAGAGGAGGCTGGTGCAGGGAGACAGCGTGCTCTTCTTCAATAACATTTTCACTGTGGAGCCCCTGGTGAGCATATAAATAAAAGCTGACCATACAGGAAACATAAGTAGGAGCACAGGGCTTGCTTTGAAAAGAGCGCTCACTTGGGGATTGAGACAGTGAGTTGCAAGAGAGTGAAGAGTCCACCTGAAGAACTTCACCATCACTGTGAGACATTATATAGACGGTAATGGTAAGAATGTCATGGGACACGTATATAGGTCACGTTTTCCGTGCACCAGTTGCTGTGTTAACCACTTCCTAGGGATTATGCAGTTCATCTCATTTGAATATGTATTAGCTTACAAGTGTACGATATAAGATCCCATTAGAATCCCATTCAACAGATGAGGAAATTAAGACAGAAATGTTGTAACTTGCTCAAGGCCTAACAGCTGGGGTCAGTGGTTAGAAATTCATCCCTGATTGGCCTGAGTGTATAGCAGGACTTCTCAACCCTGGAACTGTTGACATTTGGGGCTGGATCATTCTTTGTCCTACACATTGTAGGATGTTTCATGTAAAGCATCCTTACTTTTACCCACTAGATGCTAGTGTGACAGCCAAAACCGTTTCTGTACACTGCCAAATATGCTCTGTTGGGCAAAATCACCTGGGTTGAGACCTGCTTTGTCCTTCCTTCATTCATTGAATACTCATTGACTGCATGGTCCATATCAGGCACTGTTGTGTGTATCAGACATTGATGGACAAAACAGACATGATCCTTGACCTCATAGTCTGTCTAGTGAGAGCTGTGCCAGAATTAAAATGGGGTCTGTCTGATTCCACAGACTAAACTCTTAAGCACTCTTTCTCCCTACTGCCCCCAAATCAAAGAAGCTAGCAGCTTTGCTATTTACTGTATGCTGGTGCTGTGCTACAGGCTTCCTGTGCATTAGCCCACTCCCGCCAGACAGAGAGTGATGTGAGGATCAAAACAGTGATAGGAGGTGAGGAAGCCCGCAGCTGGTTAGAGCTGCCGAGTTGTTGCCATTTAAATCAGATGGAGAAGAGACATGGACATGAGGACACTTTAGAATACAAGTATACTTGTGAGAAATGCTACTGACGTATGCAGGCTCATTTTCCTTCTGTCTGCACTTCCAAATTGTTGTTAAAGCATATAACATGGAAAATGAGTTCCATGGCTAAGTAAGTTTGAGAAACACGAGGCTGAATATTGTTTGAAAGGTTTCTTGGTTATAAAACTTTGGAAAGCCTTTAGTATGCTAATGTGTGTTGTTAATCTCCAAGAGGGAGCTTTTCCCTTGGAGACACCCTCTGGGACACTGTTTTTTGGGGCCAGCTATGTGAGTCACTGGAGAAGACAGTAAGGTATTCTAGTTCAGAGGCTGAGGTGATTTTCATAGGCAAAGAAGTTGGAGAATGCTTCTTGAGAGAAGAACCTGGGCCTGAGTCTCCCAGGACAGGCCTTTTGGAGAATGAAATTGTGAACCATGGCATGGTTCACCCAAGGCTCCATGAGTAGACTAGTTTCTTGAAGTCAAGGGTTCACATAGGGAAAGAAGGTTGGAGATGTGTGTCAAGGCTGAGACTTCTGTCATGTCAGAGGACTATCCAGGGCTCAGGTGAGCAAAGGGATCTCCAAATATAATGGGTTAGATCAAGATGAGGACCAAAAGTGAAAATAGGTCAAGCCCTGAGATATGGAAAAGGTCAAGAAGGAATTATTGATTGGTGCATGCAAGCAGGTGGCTGAGCTGGGCTGAGGCAGGGAAGAGCTATCAGTTGTAATCTTAAACATACTGGTAAGGTCCATGTTGTCCAAGACTGTTCCCAGCTATGCTGGACATCCAGGCTGATGACCGCTTCTCCTGGGCAGCCCTGGGACCACAACATGGTGGTCAGGAGGAGGCCAGGGATAAGCCATAGGTAAGTCCTGCCCATTTCTATTTCACAAGTAGGAACACTGGAATTACCTCCAATGAGCTTCTCCTCATGCTTCCTTCCATAACCCATGGTTCAATGAAGAAGATGTATGTGTGTGAAAATATGGCATCTAATATGATAGTTTTTGAATTCCAAGTGGGAACTGAATTGAGCATTCTTATCACGAGGCATCTTTTCATCCTTAGGAAGAAAAACGTTATAGTAATACACAGAAATGGTACCAAAATAATGAGACTAATTTTATTTGTATTGTGGGGGATGGGGGATACCAGAAATAAGCAGAAATATTCACTTCCAATATAAATGGTCTTTATGGAATCTATCATGATTTTGTTTTCTTCCTGTATTATTTAGTCTTTCTTCTCATAATAATATTCATTAGCTGGTTGACAATTTTTGCAAAGTGAAAATGAAGGCATGAAACTTTCCTAGTTTTTCCAAAGTTATTCTGGTCAAAACAGCAGAACTCAGTATCAGTTATAGTGAATTCTTTATTGATGTTAAATCTCCTTACTTAAAAACTATAGTTCTGAAAGTTTTATATAGATACAGTTCTTGTTTGTGAATGTACTATAAGGAGCTTGTACATTACTTCTACAGGTATTTAATGGGAAAATTCTACTATTTCACAGACTTCTTGGCACAAATGTGAGCCAAGAGTGCTTTTTACTGTTGAAATTTTGGTTTTCTGATTCAGGTAAATAAATGCTACAGTAGTCTCAGATGAGGGAGTTGGGAAAGGATTTTTAGAAGAGATGAGATCTGAACTGAATATTGGAAGAAGGGTAAGAGTTAATTAAGTGGAAAAGGAGACAGAGAACGTTTCCAATTGGGAAAATTACAAAAACAAAGAAACGTATCCGAGGTAATTTCATTCTTCCTGCTTCTGAACTAGAAATGGGCAGGACCCACTGGTGGCCTACCCCCAGCCTCCTCCTGACTGCCATGTTGTGGTCCCACGGCAGCCCATCCTCAGGAGGAGCAGTCATCAGCCTCGATCCCCAGTGCAGCTAGAAGAGTCTCGGCCCAGTATGTCTAAGATTACCACAACTGACTCCTCTTCCCTGCCTCAGCCCAGCTCAGCCACCTGGCGGCATGCACCAGTGATTCCTTCCTGACCTTTCCATGTCTCTGGGCTTGACCTATTTACATTTTTGGTCCTCATCTTCATCTAACCCATTGTATGTGGAGATCCCTTTGCTCACTTGAGCCCTGGATAGCCCTCTGACATGACGGAAGTTTCAGCCTCGACACACATCTCCAGCCTTCTTTCCCTGCCTGAACCCTTGACTTCAAGCAATGTTGGAGAATGTTTCCAATTGGGAAAATTACCAAAACAAACCATCAGAGAAGGAACTACCTGACCAACCCACTGTGCTTTAGACTGCAGGCTGCCATCTCCCACCATGCTCTGTGGGGTGGTCATGTGCATTCCTTGCAAAGAGGGAGTTCTGTGGTCAAATAAGCTTAAAGAAATACTTGTTCAAGAGAAGGTGACTCTCCAAGCAATGGGGTGCAAGCAGCATTTCCCTATGACCACAGACCCCCTCCACAGAGCATCCACTGGGGTCCATGTTCTGTGGAACATGGACACGACAGAGGGTGAGATGGGTGGTGCAGGTCAGATAGTGGAAATGCCTAGTGCAGGAAGGGTCAGGGAGACTGACCATCTCTGCAGGCAAAGTCGAGTGATGCATGAGGGTGCTGCTGACCTGGAACAGCCCAGGGGTGGTCAGAAAGGAAGGAAATGGCAGAAATCCGAGATGTTCAGAAGAAAGACACAAAAGTGGTTTTTGATCAACTGGCTGTTGATGGTGAGGTGAGACATTGTGAGAAATTTCATTTGTGTTTCTCCAAAGCTGTACTGAAGATATTGGGAGAATTATGATGTCTGATAGAAATGAGCAAGTCAGGAGTCCTGAGTTTACCTGCTAGCTTTGCCAATAGCAATATAAGCTTAACAAGCCATTTGATCTCCCTTGGCTTCAGTTGCCTTGTACACAAACAGGGTATTGCAGTTAAGTCAAATTGATCCTTTTTGATCTACAAGTTCTGACTTTCCAATTTAGGATCAGACTCTGAGCTTCTTGAGATCAGGGAGGTCCTTATCCTCATTTGTGGCCAGTGCTAATAAACGAATGAATGAATGAACAAATGTAAATCAACAAATGATGATGAGTTTGGCTCTGAACATGTTGAATTTGAGATGACTATAGATATCCAAAAAGTTTGGCAAATGCAGGACTAAAATTTGTGGAAGGGGATTCAGGACTGGAAGCAAGATTTGTGAGTGTGCTGTGGAGATCTTCACTGAAGCCATGAAAAGCAGATGAAAACTCTAAGAGCAGAGCAAAAAGGAAATTGCAGAGGGCTGAAGAGGGCCTCCAGGCACTCACATTTAGAGTCTCTGCAGAGAGAGGAGAGGCTGTGACTTCACAGAGAAGGCATCAGTAGGCGCGCTGGCCAGCTAAGAGCCTGTCATGGCGTGTATCTTTGTCTACACCTTCTGTGCATGGTTCAGCACCACTTGCTTCTGAAGGTCTCTTCTGAATCTTGCTCACTATCAGGTCAGTTGTGCCAAGTGACTACTACTTAATTTCTGGCAGTGGAGCTATGCACCATTGATTGGTTGTTTCTTAGGGTGTGATTCTTTTTAATTAGCTTGTTGATATGAGTTGGGTTCACAGTAGAAGCAGAGGAGATTGGAACCAAGCAGTGTTTCCTGCTAATCTAATAATCAATCTCTAATTGATACTCTGCTCAAAAAATAAAAAGAAAAGAAAAGGGTGATGAAGAGGCTTAGAGACTGCCTTGCTTCCTGATGGACTCTTCAGCTTCTGACCACTGAGGAAAGACATTGTGTTCAAATGAGATAAACTTAAAAAAAAAAAAAAAAACTAAAACTATTACCTCAAGGTCTGGAAAGAAATAAGAAACATAGGCTTACTTTCTCAGACCTATATCTGTCTATCTCACTTCTTCAAATGCATCAGGGAAAACAAAAGGTTAGTTTAGTCCTGGTTGTGTTCCCTGCATATCAAGTATTTTATGGAAGCATTGTTCCTGTTTCAGAGGCTCTTTCAATTTAAAGCAAGGAGATTCAAGATCAAGAG